GTCTTTGTATTTTGCAAAGTTTATTGTGCTAATTTTGAGTAAAATTTGCTATAAAAAGTGCCTACGAGCATCTTAGTGTGATAATAACCGAAGCTAAGTGAAAGTTTTGTGATTTTTGTGGTTTTTATTAAATTTCTTAGCTTACATCTAATCTTGCCGAGTCATTTGTTGTTATCATTGTTGTTGCTTTTCCTTTGTAGTTAACTGAGATCGTTTCTATTTTTGCACATTTCTTTTTGCTCTTTTTGTTTACTTCGTTTAGTATTTCTTGTCACAGCTGTTTGCGCTGCGTTTATTAAGTGTCACAATACAATGATACTCAAACTGTTCGCTACATATATTTTTAAGCTAAATACATCAGCTCCTAAATTGTTGTGTGTGTTGTGTTAAACTTATTTTGCTTGTCTTTTTATTAACATAAGTGTTATTAAATCTTTCAATATGAAGTGTGATCTTGATAACTGCCAAATTAAAAGCGAATCTGAACGCTACTTATCGTGCTGGCTCTGTGATGGTATTTGCCATCTAAAATGTGCTGGTTTGACAGGAAGAATTCTGGACGCTATTAATGATGGCAAAGATCTTCGCTGGTCTTGCTTAAAGTGCAGGTCAACCGAAGTTGATCTGTTTAAGTTGTTTAGGCAAACCAGAAATGGGTTTTCTGAGGTAGGGAGAGAGTTGTCGGTACTGACCGAAAAATTCAAACATTATGAAAATGTATTTAAATCTTTTAAATGCTTAGATACCGTACAATCTATGAAGGAAAAGGTAAGCGTCTTCATAGTCCGCCTAATGAAAGGACCGTTCCACGTCAGAACAATCTTCCGAATGACTTAATTAATCTTTCTTCTCCATGTCCTCAGACAACGGAGTTATCTTCCTCAAAAGAACATATATCAAAGTCTGCTTCTAATAATAACGATCCTGCAGTATCTTCCCCGTCCCCCGTTGAAGTTGTGGCACCGCCATCTAATCTTCCAACGCTTACTCTACCCTCAATTAGTAACTCAGTTACTCAAGCCCGTCCGCCGGTAATCGAGTCTGATACTAGGAGACTGGTTGTGGTTCCCCCAAAGAAGTCTATATTTGTATCTAGATTTTCGAGGGATACTTCCGAGGACGATATAAAGTTTTACATCTAGTCCAAAGTTAAAACTGTCAACTTAAGTATCAGAAAATTTAATTTTAAATATGAAAGAAATATTTCTTCATTTAAAATAGACGTAAATTTAGAAAATTTTGACATGCTGCTTAGTAGTTCTTTTTGGCCCTCCGGAGCTTTCGTTCGTGAGTTTGAGTATAGGCCCAACAAAAATAATAATTTAGCAAATATTCCCCGTCAGAATACAGAACCAAAAAACTGATTACTAAATCTGCTTTAAGTATTTATTATCAAAACGTAAGAGGCATAAATACTAACAATCAAGGCACAATATAAGTAGAACTTCACAGCTTGACGTTTGCACAGCCTTATTTGCGAACAGCGAGAGAATGTACAATAAGAAAGGCATTTGGTAATTATTTTTCCATTACTGCATACTTTATTAATTTAAGTTAAGATTAATAATAATAATCTTATAACAAGTAGGTTCAAGGGAAATACCATTCCACAGTTTTGAAAAAATCGGTTTTTCGCGCTTTTGTAAAATTTATTTACCATCGTATACGCGGTACAGCGTTTGGCGTATACGAGATACTTCGCGCTGAGAGACGATATAGTTCAATACAGTCCAATTTTTAATTGTTTAATCTTAATTATAAAATATTTACAATGTGGTTGCTCACGCTGATTAGGTATTTCATTGATTCTTACAAAGAAGTTGGAAACTGTGTACCTATGTACTTATTTAAAAACGTCATTTAGAGTCTGGTAATGTTTACGAAGATATTAACATACATATGTACCTCATACGGGAAGCCTGATTTTCTAAAGTATGTATTTATTATATATACTTATATATAAATGTATTTCATTCATTTTCAGCCTTAAAAGGATTTACTTTTCAAAAATGCAAATAAAAATTGATTTTCTTTGGTTTGTAAAATTTGTCTATACGTACTATATAAAAGAATTTGTGATGACCTGAGTTGTTAACCTAATAAAAAATTTGTTATTTTTCCTTACATTTGCTAACTTTTTCGTCAAATCTTGGCTAGAAAGTTCTTTGAGCGGCGGCAACACTGGGTAACAAACATAAAAAATATTCCGACGAACTAATAACCTCCTCATAAACGATTAACCGGATTCTTAAAAATTAGGCTAAAGTATTGCGAAACAAAAAACATTTTTTTGCTTTTGCCGGTTTAACGGGGCATGTAGATGCACCAAAAATATTTAGTGTTATTCTATAGGCCAAAACCTTTCAAACGATACCTTATATATTAAGTTCCGGCTGTCTCCAACCATCTTACCTGCAGCTGACACTAACAAACATTTACATATCATGCCTGGTTGCATTCAGAATACTAAATCAAGCAAACGGGAAGGAGCTAAAGAAGATAGAAAAAGACCTGTCCTAGTCAGGTGGAGTCACCCACCCCTTCTACAATTTTTCTTTCTCTGTAGCCTTGGACCCTGCCGTGACTCCAACAATTGGAAGGCCCCTAAGCCTGACCGGTTTCCGTCTGTCTAGTGTCCTGTCACTGCGTCGCGCCACCCATTTCCCCTCTTGTTGCAACCAGTGAAACACCCACACCAAACAACCACAAAATCAGCAAATCATTAGTTTTTTCTTTATATAAAAAAACTTTCAAACTCTATTACGTAACTACAAATCCAAATTCTGATACCGTTCCTATTTTCACGAAATTTGAGTTCAATATTTATAACAAAAACTATAGCAACTAAACTCCTATTCTTCTTCTTCTTCTTATTTGGCGCTGTAACCGCCTAAGCGATTTTGGCCGAGTCCAAAACAGCACGCCAGTCATTTCTCTTCTGTGCTAACTGACGCCAATTGAAAATGCCAAGTGAAGCCAAGTCCTTCTCCACCTGGTCTTTCCAACGCAGAGGAGGCCTTCCTCTTCCTCTGTTACCAGCATCGCGGCCCGCGTTGAATATTTTCAGAGCAGGAGCGTTTCTGTCCATCCGAACGACATGGCCAAGCCAGCGGAGCCGCTGAATTTTAATTCGCTGCACTATGTCTATATCGTTGTAAAGCTCATACAGCTCATCGTTAAATCGTCTGCGATATTCGCCATCACCAACGCGTAAAGGTCCGTAAATCTTTCGCAGAATTTTTCTCTCGAAAACTCCAAGAGCCGCCTCATCAGATGCTTTCATTGTCCATGCTTCCGCGCCATACACCAGCTCCTATTACTATATTTAAAAATTCAAGTTCCTATGTATATTCTAATTCAACAATTTCATTAACAAAATTCAAACTGATAACAATAAAAAAATTCAACCACAACAGAAAAGCTCCGAATAACTTAATTCATATATGTATGTACATACGGCATGTGAATTCATATATTTTGATAATGAAATAAATTCGAGCATAAATACGATTTTTAGTTACATTTACATATTATTTTTCCTGTTATCAATACATATTTTGAATCTGAGGATAATCGGACCATAAACCCGATTTTTAGTAATAACTCGACTCCAACGCCACCTGGAGGCTCATTTTTGCAATGGTATCGCTTTCCCTATTGCCAATACATATCTCGAATATGAGGCGAATCGGACCATAAACACGATTTTTAGTAATAACTCGACTCCAACGCCACCTGGAGTCTCTTTTTTTGCAATGGTATTGCTTTCCCTATTGCCAGTACATATCTCGAATATGAAGCAAATCGGACCATAAATACGATTGTATTGTTTTATCTATTGTCAATACACATCTCAAATATGAGGCGAAATGGACCATAAATACGGGTTTTACTAATAACTCGACTCCAGCACCACCTAGCGGTTGTTTTAATAGTTATTCTGCTATTCGGAAGGTAGACAAATTCAAGAAACATATATCATAAAAATCGGTACAGCCGTTCTTGAGTTATAAATGGTATAACTAACACGACTTTGTTTTATATATATAGACTAGCAGACCCGGCGATCTTCGTCCCGCCCAAAATTTTTATTTTTTTATTGAAAATTTTTGGTCCAACATTTTCACCAACAATTCACGTTTACGATTTTCATTATCACATTCATCTGCTAAGATTATGGTTTGGTGGTCAATTGCCGCTCTAAATATTTTAAGGAAAGTGTCATAACCATGAAGAAATTCTTGAAATTCTCCAACTGTGCAGCATTTCATAGCACAGTTATTCGCAAAACGAAATAAATTTGAAGAATTTGAAGAATATTTTCCTCTTCACTCCCTGGCGGCAACAATGACCCGGTTCTATAGTGAATCTGTCCTAGAAGCTTTACAGTATAGTTGCTGGCAATTTCAAAATGGGTGCGAATCGTTTTCTACAGAAATGCAATATACATACATATACTTATTTCAGACGAAACACTTTAAAAGCTGGAACGCATAAATCACATCCATTGGGACAATAGTAACACAGTAGAGTTCGATATACTCAATGATGCAACAGGTCGATTTAATCTGACCTTCACGGCACCTTTTCTCACTTGGCTATTTTTAGTAACAACTCGACGCCAGCGCCACTTGGCAGCACGTTTTTGCAATACTATTGCTCTTACCATTACTAATACATATTTAAAATATTAGCCAAATCGAATCATAAATAAGATTTTTAGTAATAACTCAACTACAGCGCCAACTGGCGAATTAAATTGTGAAAGTAAACCATACAGAGACCCACTCAAACACACACAAAAAAATTTCAACCATTTAGGAGGATTTCCCTCACAAACACACCTACAGAATAACTATAAATACATTCAAAGAAAGCTAAAAGTCGCTACGTTTGTAGACTTCACGCCCCCTTTTCAAATAGCCCCAATTTTCTCCATGAGTATGGGCTTGATTTCATATACATACATACGAAGTTCCAGTACTGTATCATGAATACTTTCAGAGATATGCAGTATGAAAAACTCGGTTTGTAATGGCAGGTACCACGCCCTCTTTTACAATAGCTCCAATTTTTTCCAAGAGTATGCGATTGATTTCGTATATCTCCATACCAAGTTCCAGAACTCTACCAAGAACACTTCCAGAGATATGCAGTATGAAAAATTCGGTTTGTATGGGAGGTGCCACACCTATTTTTACAATAATAATAATAATTGATTGGCGCTTACACATATGTTAGCGTTTGGCCGAGCTTCTCCTACGACTTGTGGCGTGCGCCTTGATGTTGTCAAATAAAGCGGAGGGACCTACAGTTTTACGCCGACTCCGAACGGCGGTTGTATTTTAATGAGAAGGTGTTTTTCATGGCAGAAATACACTCGGAGGTTTGCCATTGCAAATGCAATATACATACATATACTTATTTCAGACGAAACACTTTAAAAGCTGGAACGCATAAATCACATCCATTGGGATAATAGTAACACAGTAGAGTTCGATATACTCAATGATGCAACAGGTCGAT